AATTCCTTGTGTGTGTAAACATACTTGGTAATAAAGCTCTTCTGATTCTGATTCTGATTAACTAAGGTTAACTAATGAGGTCTTATTGTAAAGTGATACTATTGGTCTTTATTGTTCTTTATACATTTTTCTGTATTTATTGCATTTAAATGTTCAGTTATTTTTGTTATAAGAAAAAAGTTATTAAACCTGTTATACTGTATTATGACAGCACTTTTTTTTAAAACTAAATTTCAGTATCGTGATAATACCGTATACCGTGTTAAAAGCATTAGCAATTAATCGCAACATGAAAAATTGATACCGGCATATCCCTAGTTGAGCCTGACAACATGTCCTCCTGATGATTTAACTAATGATAAGCCTATATTGGAACCAGCTTTGTCATCAAAGAAGCTGGTAACTGGTTAAAATGATGTTAATGTAATGCATGTAAGTTTAATTCTGGTTTGTTCTTGCAGGGAGAAGCATTTGATCGGGTCAGCAGCTCCTCTGCACATGCACAGAGTGTTGCCAAAGCCAAGTACGAGTTTCTCTTCGGAAAGACAGAAGACGAAAGCTCATCAGATACTGGTACTTTTATGTTCTTGCATACTTCTTGCATACTCGCATGTAATTATTGTTTATATATATATATATATTGTATTAGTAAATTGAAACTGCATGTAACACATTTTCTCTTTCACTTACACCTTACTCTTCTAAATGTGTAACATCCTGTTCTTCTGTGTGTAGTTCTTCAAAACACAATCATTAAATACACTGAATTATTTTCACTGTTTTATTTTTATTCAGAAACACTATTTAACATCACTGGACCAAAATACAACAAAAGGATTAAGAAGCGATAAGGTAGAAATAGCTCTTAAGGTAACAGTTGCAGGTTGCCACTCTTTACACTGTAGCAAACATAATGCTTTGCTGGTGAAAACTGAAGGAAGGGGAAGTGCATAGGAGTACATTTCTATGATTTTATGATAAATAATACATATTTGACAGAGGCAACAACCTTGAACTTTGAGAGTGACTCGTGACAATTGAGGGATTTTCTCCCAAAGTTGCAATTATTGATGTTGTGATAATTATAGCAGCATTTGAGCATCAGTTTGACCTGTTTGATGTCGGCTATTTCATGCTATTCAACTGATGCATTATGTCCGACAGTTTTAAGTAAACCACCCGCTGACTCATAAACCTGCTGGTAAACAGCCTGTTTTCTTTTAGTGTTGCCATGTTCAGTTTTTATAAGTATCTTAGGGCTTCTTGTTTCATTAAAGTAGTTCATAAAATTTATGAATGTATTTGGGTTTATTTTAAAAAGGCCAGTGGCTTGTTTTTTCAGATCCAGTTTTTCTAGTGAGGTCTTGCAACATTGGTCTCTGTGGAGAGTAATGTATGGTATTTCCCCAAGACCACAGGGCTGATGGGAGAAACTTTAGTGGAGAGAGTATCAAAATTTGTGAGGCAGTGAAGACACATAGCTTTTTTTCTGTGATTTTCTAGCATCCAGTGGCATCCATTCTCGAGCTACAATTTTCCAAGATGCAGCACTGCATTATCAGCTAGTTGTTCAGTTTGGTTCTGTTCACAAATGTGACTGTCACTACCTTAAATGTTTGAGGAGTTAATTTGGTTGTGGAATGTGGATGTCACAGACATAATGGATTGGACTGCACAGAGTGTGATTAAACTCTCAGTAGAGGAGTGACAGCTATATTGAGCTGCTGTGTGTGTGTTAAGCACCACACACAAAACATGCTCCTCCAAGATCTTTGTGTTTCTGGTGTGTCACGCTTCAGTCTCAACGGCCGTCATGATGAAACCTGTTTCAGAAGTGTGAGTCACAAAGCTCAGAGATTTCATTGGCTCTTTGCGGGCTTATTGTTTCTTTTTTATTTTATTTTATTTATTTTTTTAGCTGTCGTTATAATAATTTATCATTTTGAGCAGGAGTCCAGGATTGATCGGAAAACATTTTTAAAATGCACCTACAAAGAAGAGCAATAAGACGGCATTATAAAATAAAGTGCGCTTTGATTTTTGAATGGTAAAGACGTGCTCACCCACAGACATTCACAGGTTCATTTTGAGGTATTAGCAAAACAACAAAGCTGATGCTTTTCACGGAACTTATGTATTTACCCATCATAAATTGTGATATAGCCTGGTTTGTTGATCCGTTAGATCGGATTGCTTTCTCACTACAACCAAACCGCTCCAGAGTTCGTTTTCGTTCTCGTTCAGGTGATCTCAGACCGATTGTTTTGGTGCGGATCCGAGCACGATTGTCATGTTCACATATGCCCAAACAAACCAAGCTAAGGGGGGAAACGCGCCAGGTTCCGAAACAACAGCCCAGGTGTGAAAGCACCCTAAGTCTAACATTCACAGACATTTATATATACTTTATCCACATTTCATCTCTGTAAACCAGTGAACTCTTGGTCTTGGATTGTGGATTAAATCAATAGTTCATCCAAAAATTAACATTTTCTCACCCTCAGGCCATCCAAGATGTAGTTGTGTTTGTTTCTTCATCAGATCTGGAGAAATGTAGCATTGCATCAGTGTCTCAGCAATGGATGCTCTGCAGTGAATAGGTGCCGTCAGAATGAGAGTCCAAACAGCTGATAAAAACATCACAATAATCCACAAGTAATCCACACCACTCCAGGCCATCAGTTAACATCTGGAGAAGTGAAAAGCTTTGTGTTTGTACGAAACAAATACATCAAGGCATTGTAACTTCAAACCATTGCTTCTGGCCAGTTTATAATCCATAATAACGCTTCCTCCAGTGAAAAAGTCCATCTCCTCTTGTCTCTCACATCAAAATCCACCCACACATTTGTTTAGAGCTGCTTTGGACTGTTTTGGCTCATAAACTTGCATATTTCTCATCAGATGAGACGACTTTTGACCCTTTGACTAAACTAAAATGCAACAAGCATCTAGCTCTGCTCATCATTTAGCTCACAAAATCTGACAGGTTGTTCTGCTGCCTGCAAATAATAATTAGTACACAAGCCCTGCTTTGTTGCCTGTAGAAACCAGAAGCCAGTTTTTCTGAGAGGGTTTTACAGTGCTCACTGTTAACATGTTAAATCAAAGCACAGTATCAATATGATATGTGATATATTGGTAACACTTTAATATAGGGACCGATTCTCACTATTAATTAGTTGTTTATTAGTATGCCTATTATTAACATATTGGCTGTTTATTAGTACTTATAAAGCACATACAGTTTTCTGCATGACAAGTACCTTATTAACTATAAATAAGCAGCAAATTCTGAGTTTATTGAGGCAAAAGTCGTAATTAATGGTTTGTCAAAAGCGAGAATTGGACCTTAAAATAAAGTGTGACCATACGTTTTACCTAACTCAAATGTTTAGATGTATTTAACCTAAATGTCAGAATATTTTTTTGTCTTAATTTTGTACACTAGATCTATGGTTTTATCTTTTCAAACTTTTTTGTCAGTTGTTTTGCTTTGATATTTTCTGTCCTTCCACATGCAGACAGTGTGGCTGAAGTGTCAAATCTTTCTCACATACTGTACTGTACTGTATTGTAAGTGCATTGGGATGCAGCCTGATGTTTTTGTTCAAATTTTGTTTACAGTACATTTTTATTCAGTCTGTTAAATCATCCATAGTCAAATGCTGCCACCTGGTGTTTGAACAGTTCTGAACAAAAATGGCTGATCCGCTTGATGCTTAATGTTTAATGTTTTACAGACCCTCACATTTCATGATGACCAGTGCTTTCATTTCAGCATTAAAAATTAAAATCACACATACAGTGGTTTGAATACACATTTTCTATGAGGAGCAAGTTTTTAATTTCTGAATAAAAAATTCTGTTTTATATTTTTGAAAGAGCATAAAGTAAAAAATGTCAGGATTATATCATTGTCCTGATATCATGATGAATAAAAATTTTCCGTAAATTATTGGAAAGAAAAACTTTCTTACAGCTCTTTGGGGAAAAAACTACTTAATATATGAAAAACTTTTGTTTGTTAAATCAAAAACATGTGGTGTAACCGAAATGCAGAAATATGCTGAGAAAACATAAAAAAGGACATGATATCATGACTGTGTCAATAAGTCTCTTTATATATTAAATTATTTGACCTTTTATGACAAGGAATGGTTAGTTCAGGTTGTAAAATATCACGTGGTGCAACTTACATATCAATTTATGAATTTAATAATGCATGATATTTGTAAAAAAAAGTAAGTATGTGTCGTTAATTAATATTATTCAGTACTTAATTGTGTTTTTACACTGTAACAAGGACACCTTAAAATACATACACAAGTGATACATTTGTACTTTCTCATGTAAAACACTTTCACACACGATTGGCCATAACACACATACAGATGAAACACTCTGCACCCCACGACCGACTGCACACACAAAAAATTTGGGAAGATTTCATTTTCAGTTGGTTGCGCAAGTAACCTTATTATTATAATAATTATTATTGCTTAATAAACAGCTATCACTGACTGTTTCAGCAGATCCAGAGTTAACACCTAATGATCTGTAATCTTAATTTTTTGGTTTGTCAAACAGTCGCCTCTCCAACCCAAGAGAAACAGGAAAGCGGCTCAGGTCTTGAGTCCGCTCTTGATGATGATGACATTGACGAGACGTCGCTCTTCCAGGAAATTGACAGGGAGCTGTCAAACCTATTGAGCGGCCTGACCGCTCGGAGTCAGCATGCTGCGGCCGAAGAGGACTCGACGTCAGGAGACACCGCCGCCGCCTCACCCATGATCCCCTGCAACGGGCAAAACGAAACCCCGCCGTCACAACTGGATATGGCCAAGCAGGGCCTGGACATTCAGAACGGCCAGTCCGAGTTAGCAGGAGACTCCCTGCTGTTTGACTCGTGGTGCGAGGCGCTCATAAAGGACCCCAGCTCAGTTATGGCGGCCGCAAACGAGCTGAGCTGCTTCAGCTCTGGGCCCAGTCGAGACCCCAGGAATGCACCGGCCAGCCAAAATAAACCTGACGCCAGCTCAACTCGAGCTGCAGCACATGTGGAGCAGCCCTCAGAGGTGCCCTCCCAAGAAAACGCTGGAAAGGAGATGGAGGGCAAGAGGGTCGAGTCACCCTCGCCCAGTAGGACGGACGACGACCCCACGGCAGAACTGGTGGATGAGTCTCTAGAGGAATCCAATAAAATTCTGGCCAAGATCCCGGGCATCTTCAGCGTCTTTCTGGAGGGGGGCAAACTGCGGGACAAGCCGCTGAAGAAGCTGCGGTTTGTGGAGAGCAGGGAGAGCCTCGTGAACGGAGAGATGCAGAACGGAACGTACCAGAGCTGCAGCGTGAAAGAGGAAGTGACTCTGGACGCGCAACATACAGAAGCCACAGGAGTGCCACAGGGGCGTGTGCTGAGACCCGATCACAATCCAGCAGAGAACGGCTCAGACAGGTACAGTACCTCTGCATCGCAGTCCTCACTTGTCAAAAGCCTGTTAGATAGTCCAATAAAATTCTGGCCAAGATCCCGGGCATCTTCAGCGTCTTTCTGGAGGGGGGCAAACTGCGGGACAAGCCGCCGAAGAAGCTGCGGTTTGTGGAGAGCAGGGAGAGCCTCGTGAACGGAGAGATGCAGAACGGAACGTACCAGAGCTGCAGCGTGAAAGAGGAAGTGACTCTGGACGCGCAGCATACAGAAGCCACAGGAGTGCCACAGGGGCGTGTGCTGAGACCCGATCACAATCCAGCAGAGAACGGCTCAGACAGGTACAGTACCTCTGCATCGCAGTCCTCACTTGTCAAAAGCCTGTTAGATAGTAGAGTGAAACCACTAATCGACATGAGCAAGCAATTTTATATGATACTTTTGTACTTTTAATTCAATTCTAAAAATAGTACCCACCAGTAGCATTAAATTGGCTTTCGTTCAACAGGAAACAACGGTGTTCACAGGTAAATTAACTCCTTATATTTTTATAATCAATATTATTAACAATTATTAATATTCTTGACAAAAATTAATTGTTTTGTTTTCATAAATGTTTTTTATGTAACTATTTATATAATTATTGTATTATTAACATGTTTTAATACAATTTTAACGATGCATATGTTTAAAAAAAAAAAAAACTTTTAAATTGTTATGTGGAAAAATCCAAAAATAAAACAATTAAAAAGCGATTTTGCTTATTGGTTATCAAACGCTTTAACATTTAAAATAATCAGTATTGTATTTCTTATCTCACCATACACAATAACATAATTCTCAGCTCTAGTAACACTAGCTCTGCCTTGTTACATAGACAACATTTTAAATGCCATAAGTGACTGATTTAAATGCTCTACACAGATGTTTGATGTTTTTTGGTATTAAATTAAAAGATTAATATATTTATAATATGCATTTTTTTCTTGACTTGTTTGCCATCTTGGAATGATTATTCCTGACTGACTGTTGCATTGCATTTTGGTACTGCCACAATATAGAAGGCAGCGTAATGATAACAGTTTAGATTAGGGAACACTATTCACTAGTTGATTATTAGCATGCAGATTACTAGCATATTGGCTGTTTATTAGTACTTGTAAAGCACATATATTAATGCCTTATTCTGCATGACCATATTCTAGATCCCTTAAACCTACCCAATACCTAAACTTAAAAACAACTACACCAACTCCCTTACTTACAATCAATAAGCAGCAAATGTTTATTGAGTTTATTGAGGGGAAAAAGTTAATGGTGAATATGTGTTCCCTAATCTAAAGTGTTACCAGCATAATTTATAAATAGCGGTTACTTCAGGAGCGCACCTATGATGGCTATGTAGGCAGCTCACTGAGGTCAGTAAAAGCTGTCTAGAATGAGAGATGTACACAGCTGCACCTTATGCTAAGTGCAATACTAAGTGCAATTGTGCTGTTCATCAACTAATCTAGTTACTTTATATATTCAGTTCTCTAATTATCGGTTTCGCTTCCTTTATCCTTTCTGCTTGGTCTTCGTAAGAAATGATCAAGCACGATATAGAGGAAGCGTTGTGTTCACTCTGAGTTGCTAAGAGGAACGAGGCTTGTGGTTTTATAATAGAATCAAGCATTTTTCAGCTTCCTGTGGGTGACTCTTATGAATTTGTCCAGAACATATATGGCTCATAAATAATGCTTTGCAGAAACAAAACTACATTTATTTTATTTTCATAATAATTTATTTCATAATAATTAATAATCATAATAATATTCAGAATAATTAATTGTTTATTACAGAATACATTTTCATTACTATAACCCAGCCAAAAATAGTATTATAAAACGGAGAGTTCCGGTCCTTGATTCTGATTGGCTGAGCCACATTCAAAGCTTTTGTAAATTACTAATACACCTTTGTTTACGTTTGTCTGTTGCTTGGCAACCACTTTGTTGGAACCACAACTGTTTCTGAGGAACTACATTGTTTGGTGGAAGAATACTGTTTATATTAATATCATTACACTTTATTTGCTCTGTTTTATTTTGTGAAACCTAACTACGTATATAGAATAACCGTTTTATAAAAGCAGTAAGCCCCGTGAAGCCGTGGTTTACAGTGAATTTATAACAGCTAAGGGGGTTTTAGGCACTCCGCTTCGCATCGACTTCGCTTCAACTTCTTGGGCTTATTGCTTTAGTAATACAATAAATGAATAAATAAATAAATACATATGTTAAGTACTTAGTTAAGTTTTTATGTCATGACACTATTTGATTGTACAATTCCAGTAATAAAATTTGTAATAATAATGACACTTACTAAAACCTCAGAAGTCTGAATGCGTTATGGAAACAATGGTTTGAGAGGAAATGTGATTAATTCATAAATGAATGGTACTAAAAAGGCTTTATTGTTTTTATGCAAATATAATTTGTCTTATTCGTTTCATTTTCAGGTGTGATTTTGTGAGATTATGGCTTAAGTTGACAAATGAACATATGTGACCCTGGACCACAAAACCAGTCATAAGGGTCAATTTTTCGAAATTGAGATTTATACATCATATGAAAGCTGAATAGTAAATGCTTGAGTTGTATCTGTGGAAAAGGACTTTAAACACACTCCTCAAATAGGAAATGTAAACACAAGTCAACTTCTGTTTACATCTTCCTGTTTAGTGTCACACTTTGTGGTGTGCTGCTATTGAGATGTGTTTGTCTTTCTGCCTGTTTCAGGAGTCCTGCTGCAGGTGAGAGTGACGCCACAGATGTCTTCAGCTGCCAGTTTGAGATCATCCTGGAGTCGGAGCGTCTGCAGGGGACTCTCTACAGTAGCATGGACAATCTGTCCAACCCTGCACCTGAACCCAGCTCTCACAGCGCTCCAGGAGCCTCGTTTGCCTTCGACATCCCCCTCACTCCCATGATTCAGCAGCGACTCAAGGACAGAAGTCTGTTCCTGAGCTCGGACGCTGAGGTGCTGAGCGTCACCGCCACAGAGCAGAGCGGCAGGGCAGCTCTAGAGGTGACCTCTTCGTTTCTCTCAGCGGGCTGCGAGGATGCGGGAGCAGCTCTAGCAAACGGTTTAAACGACAAGGACTCCAGAGACTGGCTGCAGGGCTGTTTAAGGTAAGACCATGCAGTTCAACGTATAAAAATGCTGAAAGAATGGCCGACAACTCTTTGACTTTTTTCATGTATTGCATGCAGTGTTGCAATCATTCTCAGCACTGAGCATTGTTTTGTTATTGTTGTTGTGCTGAAGAGCTTGTGTACTGGAGAAAACGTGGAGGCTTGAGTTGATTATGTGGCGCCCTCTGCTGAAAAGTCTTTTCTATTTCACTTACAAGTTCAGACCATTATTTTTTGTTTCGGCTAGTCGCCAAGGAAACATTTCATTTTCATTTAGTTTATTTAGTTGATGTACTAAAACAACTACAAATAAAAGTAAAATAAAATAATAATATAAATGAATAAAAACTATATTGACATTAAAAGCAATTAAAAATATGAATAGTAACTATAATAATATCTCAATGATACAAAAATAATTCTGGTTCAGTAAGGAATTTTGCAAGATATTTGGACAATGACTGTAATTCATAAATTAGAGTTGATGTTAAAGGGACTGTTCACTCAAAAATGACAATTCATCATTTACTCACCCTCTACTCATTCCAAAACTGTATGAGTTTCTTTCTTCAGAAGATATTTTGAAGATTGTTGGTAATCAGACAGTTGACAGTAGCCATAGTTTTTTACAACATCTTGAGGGTGAGTAAATGATGACGGAATTGTAATTTTTGGGTGAACTGTCCCTTTAATGTTGAGTTGTTTTGTGTGCCTGTCATGGTGTTGATTCTAAACGTGCCTGAAAGACATCAGACTCATTCAGAATGTGGTGTCACAAAGGTCAGATGAAGTAAAGAAAAAAAAAATATATCATGTTAAATATAAAACTATAAAAAGGATAAAGGGGTCTTCTTAAGGGTGGTCCATAAACGCCAGCAAACACCAAATTCCTCTGGTAGTGACATCAGTGTTTGATTAAAAGTTTAAAAAAAAAACGAATTTATTAATCATTTATTATTATTTATTTTTACTTATTTATTAATAATAGGAATTGGAATAAACAGAATAAACACTGTGCTAACCAGATGTGTCAACGAGTGAAAAATCAGTGTTAAGGGGTTTTCACACTGACAGCGTGACAGCGTTTATTCTAGTGATTATTTTGAAAACCACCATCCTTAAATTACGTATTAATTCCAATAAAAATCAACTGTAATAATAATTTGTCATATTAACTAAACCAGAAAGTAGTAGATCTAGTTATGGCAGTACAGCAAAACTATTTTTAATTTTGCTGATGTTGATACTTTCATATTGATTTGCTGTTCACAGTTTCAGAACACTTTCATGATTTTGTGTTTATTGTCATTGAAGCTCATTTTATACCTGATTATACTTCCTCTGTGGCCATATAAACACTGCAAAGACAAATGCTTTTAAATACACCGCTGAACTCACAAATTATAGTAATGTTTTTGATGTCTTGTGGATCCCTGTGATTTAAGCTGTTTGGTATTTGCTGGTTTGAACATAAGTGAAATTAGCAACAAGAGATAAATAAGGGTTTTCAAGCTTTTGAATGTTAACTGTTATCAATGTGAATATATTTTAAAATGTAATTTATTTCTGTGCTCAAAGCTGTATTTTCAGCATCATTACTCCAGTCTTTCAGCATCATTACTCCAGTCTTCAGTGTCACATGATCTTCAGAAATCATTCTAATATGCTGATTTGCTGCTCAAGATACATTTCTGGTTATTATCAATGCTGAAAACAGTTGTGCTGCACAATATTTTTTGGGAAACTGTGATACATTTTCTTCAGTATTCTTTTCCCATACTTTTGAATGGTAGTGTATTTTTTTTTTTAAATGCATCAATATAAAAATCAGAGGAATAATGTACAATAACCATGTCATTATCGCAAAATAAGCTTGATAAAAATCAGAAGAACCTAGTTTTTTTTGCTGTTGATGTTACTTTTAAACATCTCACTACTTGAGACTGCATGGCTGATGGGAGAAATGATGGTTTGGAGAAAAACTGGCGTCAGAATGAGTCAAGACACAAACCGATATGTCATTTTCTAGAAGATAGTTTCCAAAAGAGAGTGACACCACTGCATTAGCAGTTACGTCACACTGTACTAATTCTGTTAACACTATGTGGGTTTGAAGTGGATTCAGTTTTTATGGGTTTGGAATTAATATTTTGTACAATACAGTTGAGATTTCTGTAAATAACTGATCTGTGTGTACAGAAGAAGATGAAGCACTCAGAAGACTAATGAGACACAGATCAGCCGAGTTCAAACTGCACAGGAGTGAAGGAGCTCTTGTGTTTTATAGATGAGTGAATGCAGCTTTGAGCTTATTAAGCACTTTATTAAACCTGCTGTTGACTGCATTCACTCAACCTCTCATGTGTAGAATTTGGTGAACCAGTGCTTATGTATGGATATAATATAATTTGTAAAACACATTTGTGACCCTGGACCACAAAACCAGTCATAAGGGTCAATTTTTTTAAATTGAGATGTATGCATCATCTGAAAGCTGAATAAATAATATTTCCATTGATGTATGGTTTGTTAGGATAGGACAATATTTGGTCGAGATACAACTATTTGAAAATCTGGAATCTGAGGGTGCAAAAAAATCTAAATATTGAGAAAATCATCTTTAAAGTTGTCCAAATGAAGTTCTTAGCAATGCATGTTACTAATCAAAAATTACGTTTTGATATATTTACTGTAGTAAATTTACAAACTATCTTCATGGAACATGATCTTTACTTAATATCCTAATGATTTTTGGCATAAAAGAAAAATCAATCATTTTGACCCATACAATGTATTGTTGGCGGTTGCTGCAAATATACCCCAGCGACTTAAGACTGCTTTTGTGCTCCAGGGTCACATTTGAGTCCAACATGCACCGAGAGAAACACAGTCTACCACAGCATAACAATAGCGATCAGTAAACATGCATCCTCACCCGCACACTCGTCAGAAATCACGCTACATTTCCTGATCATCAGAGCCTTCAGCCCTGCTGTTATTTATAGCTCCAGCGCAGCCTCGTGCCCCAGAGCATGATGGATGTAAATAAAGCACATCGCTCTATCGCTCCATTCACACACGCGTGTTCGGCCCTGCCCCCCCTCCACCCGTCTGCCTGCTCGGCCGGAGCGAGACGCCGGAGTTGAGCGCAGCGGCTGTAGTGATGAGACTTGCTACAGTAATGAATAAGCACAAACAGAGCACCGTGTCCTAGCAGCCCGCAGGAAACCGCTCGCGCCGTCTCCATGTAGGTCAGAGCCGAGCATCAGGAGTTCGTCCACACGCACCGCCGACCGACTCTCATGGGCTCCGTAATGTCCGGCTGCTTTTCCCAGCTGGGCCTGTCCGATGCCGAGCAAGCGTCCGTCCAGTAAGTCTTGACCTTTGTATTGCATGACACGCTTCTCAGACGCCGTGGCAGCTGCTCCCGGCGCGCACGTGTGTGTGTGTGTGTGTGTGTGTGTGTGTGAGACTGCATGTGAGTGTGTGTGTGTGAGAGTGTGAGTGAGTGTGCATGCAAGAGTATTCGCACAAGAGTGCGCGAGAGAAAGTGAGTGTGTGTGTGAGTGTGCACAAGAGTGTGCACGCAAGAGTAAGTGAGAGAGTGAGTGTGTGTGTGAGTGTGTGCGCAAAAGAGTGTTTGCGTAGGAGAGAGTGAATGTGTGTGTGTAATGGTAAGAGTGCATGTAAGAGTGTGTGTGAGAGTGTGCGCACAAGAGTATTCGCGCAAGAGTGAGTGTGTGTGTGTGTGTGTGTGTGTGTGTGTGTGAGACTGCAGCAGCTCCCGCATCTGTCCGCTGTGAATGTCCTCTACTGCTGAAAGGTTGAAGCTTTCCTGTCTTTGTGTGAGTCTCCCCTCCCTCATGACTCCAGTGGGCTGATCCTGAAGCACATCATGAATGATGATAACTGTAAATGTTATAATGAATATATAGTTGCCTGTATTGTAATTTCATTACTCATCTACTGCTGAGTCGAGATCATTGAAACCTTTACCTGTATACGCTGTTAATTTATTGTTGTATACGAACAATTTCCTGTCTTGAGCGCAAATGCAGGCTATTTAATTTGATAATAAAGGGAATAAAAACGATCAGGAAATTGCTTGTATTAGGGTAAAGGTGTGGTCATGTTAGCAAAAACTTCGGTAAAAGACAAATGTGACCCTGGACCACAAAACCAGTCATAAGGGTCAATTTCTCGAAATTGAGATTTATACATCATCTGAAAGCTGAATAAATAAGCTTTCCATTGATGTATGGTTTGTTAGGATCGGACGATATTTGGCTGAGATACAACTATTTGAGAAATCTATAATTTTGACCCATACAATGTATTTTTGGCTATTGCTACAAATATACCCCAGCGACTTAAGACTGCTTTTGTGCTCCAGGGTCACAAATAAGGTGCTGTCACATTTACAGCAAATTTTGGTGGGAAAAATCCAGTCATTTCAATAGGAATTGACTGGCTCCTCAAATTCTGCATCGGGTTCAAGTTGTTCACACGAATTCTGTGAAATTTTGTGAACAAAAAAGGTACTTTGTCTATTGTCAATACTATATCTATGAAGCACAGCTCACACAGAAGTCACTTTCAAACCAAGCAGCCTTCTGCTGGTCAGCGTGAAAAAAACAGCTTAAAACCATTGCAAAATCTTTCAGCCTCACACAAAATTTTCCATTACACAGAATCTTATTAAAATAACATTTCACAATGGAGAAAAATTTGTTGAACAACAGTAAATGTGAGCGCAAGTGTTTGTTCTAAACAACATCCTAATATGCTGTTTTAAACTCAGGTAAGGCTTTGTCAAACCAACATTCAAAACATGATAAAGTCTTGATAAACTTTCTTTTGCTAGTTTTTAATGATGTCATTTTTGCAAGCAGCTTCATCATTAATGTGATGTTGTCTGCTACAGACTGTCTAGCCTTCCATCAGGATTTTATAGATTGCAGTATTTCTCTGAGAGCTCTAAATGCACAAACATGCAG